CCTAACACTCCCGAGGAAGCCACAGGTCCTCCTGGGCTGACGCTTCTAAGCTTCAGCAGGGTTTGAACCTGTCACCACACCTGTCCCATCTGAGAGGCTACTCCATGGCCTTGGAGGAGGGAGTCTGGTCTGCCCTGACCCAGGCCAAGACCACAATTTAGACAATTCGTTTTAACGGCAGACAGCACTGCAAAGAGCATCTGTGGGAGTACTTTGTGTCTCAGAAGGTCAGGGCCCCGCTCCGGCCCCCAAATTTCCTTTCCACGGAACTTTTCTCCGGTTAAAGGGACGCAACCACGGAGGTGGGAAAGCCTGCTTGGGGCGACAGCTCTTAAGTAGATGGCAGGAGGGGAGCAGTGTGAAAGACAGATGGTTTGGGGAAACCATTCTTTTTTTTTTTTTTGCGGGACGCGGGCCTCTCACTGTCGCGGCCTCTCCCGTTGCGGAGCACAGGCTCCGGACACGCAGGCTCAGCGGCCGTGGCTCACGGGCCCAGCCGCTCCGCGGCACGTGGGATCTTCCCGGACCGGGGCACGAACCCGCGTCCCCTGCATCGGCAGGCGGACTCTCAACCACTGCGCCACCAGGGAAGCCCGGGGAAACCATTCTTAATTCCATTAAAAAATGCCCAGAAACACCAAACACAGCGCCTGGCCCTTCTTCCCCATTCCGGAAAGAGAGGTAAGAAAGGACGGCAGCTCAGAACTGCCAGCCTCCGGGGGCTGCGAGGAGGGCTCCCTGAAGTTTGGGGCTGGCAGCCTTTCATGGAACTAAGCTGGTATACCAGCCCCGGGCATACACCAGATGGAGCTTTCATGCGGCCGAGACAATGCAGGCCGAGGAACAAGCCAGGATCAGTGCGATCACAGGGACGGGCTGTCTCCAGCTCTGTATTAATCTTTCAAAAAGGCTTCACTCTGGGGGCAAGGCGGTAGGTGGCTCGGCCAACTTCTGAAAAAGTTCCTCTTTCTTTACAGAGTGTCAGGTGAGATTTCAAGGGGGCATGCTTCATAACCAAAGGATGTTTTCCTTAGGGCAATAAACCATGACTAAATTTACTCTCCCCCTGGCCCACCTCAACCCTCCAGGACTTCTAGCCAAAACCCTCATCTGTTTTTCAGAGAAACACAGCAGCAACAAAAAAACCCGTAGGTGTTTCCTTCAAGGGCAGAGAAGGTCCCTCCCGGGCGGCAGAAGGAAAGTTAGGCAAACTTTATAAATCTGGAGGGAGAGCTTGTTTTGGGCGCTGGTAAGGAGCTGAGAGGGGTTCTTCTGCTGGCTTTTTAAAAAATGGTGCCCGCGGGAGCCCCATCACCTTTGGCCCCCGACTTCTGTATGCGGCGGGGCGGCCACAGAGTGAAAAGTCAGGCTCCCCCGATTCCTGGGCGACCCCCAAGAAGAGCGAAGATTGGGAGGGTGTAGGGGTGGGGCAACGGGATTGTCCTCAGTCGTGGGTCCCAAAGAGCGGAGACCCAGACGTAATGGTCACCAACTGAGTAAGGGCGAGTGCCACGGGGAGCAACTTTGCTGAGATGTATGTGTGTCCTCTCTGTATGCCCCTCCTGGAGAAATCACAAGCGTGACAACCAAAGGAATGTCCCACACTCCGTGGAAAGAAGACCCCTTCTCTCGTAGCCGTGTGAGGCCAAGGGGACACCTCAGTGGCAGGCGAGAGGCACAGGGCTTGGGAGACCGTGGCTGCGTGGCTGGGAGCAGCAGACAGGGGGCCCGTGCCCTGCTTCCCACAGAGCGGCCAGGACTCGCCCAAGGTCACAAAGTGAGTTAGGAAGAAACCATCAGCTCCTGGCTCTGTCCCTAACAAGCAGAATCCTATGAAAACAAGAAGAAAAAGACTCTGGGGACTTGAACAAAGCAGCCAGGCTATAAATCCATTCTCTGCACAGCTGCCAGTGGGTGATCTTCCTAAAATGCAAATCGGATGCCGGCAGGCAGCCGTGCGATGCCCTTCAAGAGGCGTCCCTGCACCCTTGCGAGAGAGACCCGGACCCTTAGCCCCGGCCGCAGGGCCAGATGGTCTGCAGCCCAAAGACACCTGGACCCCACTGCCGGACCCTAACCCCACCCCTGCTGTCCCCACCCCAGATGCGCAGGCCCTCTTGGAGCTCTCTGTCTCTCTGTGTGTCTCTGTCTCTGTCTCTCTGATCTAGAAACCCATCTACTTATGCAGCCACGACTTCTCAAGCATTTCCAGCTGGACCCGCGCTGTGTACCAAGGACAGAATGGTGAACGGTGGGCACTGCTTTGTCCTCTCGGAGAGTCCGGTGAGCTGGGGGAGACAGAAGTTAACCAAACAAACACACAATTAAAATGTAAAACTATGTACACATATACTTTTAAATACCAGTGCAGAAAAGCACAGGGGACTGGAGGGCATTCAAGGGGCCCTGCTTTAGAGAGGGCTGGGGGACACTTCCCTGAGAAAGGCACCTTTGGGGACTGAAGCATGACCAGAACCAGAGGCAGGAGGGACGGGCGTGTTCCCACGTGAGCCTGGAGCCCGAGGGTAAGGCGCCCTGATCCAAGGGGGCTGAGAAGAACGAGGCTAGAGGGAGCCTTGGGGGTGTGAGAGGTCCTGGTCCTGGAGGCCGAGCGCCGTGCCTGCCGCGAATGTCTGGCTCTCACCCCGATGTCGGGGCTGCAGGCCCGGGTCCTTAACCTTGACTCACAGTTACCAAGGCCTTGTTGGCAGGTGCTCACTCCACCGCTGCCCTGCCCCCTCTCACCCTCACAGCCCCGTGGGGCAGATGCTGAGGAAACTGAGGACAGGGGGAGCTCCGAAACCTGCCCAGGTACGAACCTAATGGGTGGCAGAGCTGGGATTCGAACCCGAAACTCTGGGGTGCCAGTGACCGCTTTCCCATCCCTCCTCCTGATTTCTCCAGGCCTCCTGCGCCTGGCTTTTCACAGTGACTGGTGAGTGAACAACATCCACCTGCTGGGGGCTGGGGGCTCACGCTTCTCGGGGTAACGCTGGGCCTTCGCTTGTGGGCTGAGGTGTCCCCGGGGTTAAAAGCAGGAGACGGACTCTAGGAGGGGAGGGGTGCCGGCCCAGAGAAGAAACGGGCCGGCTCGTCTAATTGCCGGCCCTGCTGTGGAGCCCATGCTTCGAACAAGGAGTGTGGACCAGCTCGTGGGGATATGACAGGATGCACTGAAACCCATCGACACGGCAGGCGGACTAGTACCGATCCTGAGGAAATCTACTGCTTTGGAGGAGGGCTTGGTCAGAGGGAAGACAACACGTTAAGACTCTAAATTCAGGGGCAGTGGTAGGGCCCAGACAAATAGCAAGAGAAGTCGGAGGAAAATCAGGAACACACATCCTCATCCTCCCAGGACCCACCGCCGAGCAAGGGGAGCTGGAGCCCAGCTGGGTGTGGCCAGATGAGCAGGGGACACAGGCACTGTGTCCCAGTGCCCCCTCATGCCACCCCACTCGCAAGCGGGGGGCGCGTAACTGGAGGCCTCGCTGCGTGAGGATGCCCAGCTTCCCTCGTGGGCAGGAGCGAGGCAGGGCCGGGGGACCAGCTGTGCGACCCGGGCAGCCTCGCGGAGCCCCACGCTCGGAGGGTCCCACACTCGGTTTAATGTTCTGCTGTCACTGCCTCGAAATTCTGAATAGTTTTTGGACGAGCACCTCACATCTTCCCTTCGCACCAGGTCCTGAAAATTCCGCAGCTGGTCGTGCTTGGGAAGGGCGGGCAGTGGACAAAGAAGGGTGCCTCCGTGGTGGACGCCGCCTGCGTGTCCAGGCAGCCGGGGTCCCGCCACCTGCTCGGATCCTGCCTGGGGCAGCTGCGGCAGGCGTGGGCTCACCCGGTGGAGGCGACTTCACGCTGCCGCGGGGACGTGCTTGGGAAGCGGCAAAGCACATTTACCCAAGACTTCTGTCGCCTCTCTCAAGTTCATAGTCACTGTGGCCGCTTGCTCCTACCGAGGAAAGTGGCGCCCTCTCAGAGGGGAGCAGACAAGGGGGAAAAGAGAAGCCGTCATCGCCTGAGAAAGGCAAAAAGCCCGGCAAACAGCAGCAGGGGAGCTTGAGGGGGCCCCCCTCTGCGCAGTGCTTGATCCTGACCTGCCCTCCTCCCTCCTGCAAGGGAAGGGGGTCCGGTCTCCTAGAGAGCCGCCTCTAGACGGCGTGCCCTCCACTTGCATGGGCTGTTAGCGATCGGGGAGCGATGACCAATAGGCCCCCCCCCCCCCCCCCC